ATTTCTATCGATTTTTAATTGCTTTTTCAAAACAGTAAAAAACTCTTCTTCAACAGTTAATATATCCAGATTTTTTTGCTCTAAGTCTTGCGATTGCTGATTTTGATTTTCTGAATAATTAGACACATCAATATTATGCGCGCATAAATGATAATTTATTATAGAGGTTGGACCGTGATATGAATATTCAGTCTCACATTTACGATATTTTGTTTTGCGACTTTGGGGTGGAGGAGACGATACTGGAGACGTTTCATTGCTAAAAAAAAAATGGAAATCAAATATAAAGATGAAAAGTGTCAAATAATCCGCGAGATTTTTTAATGGACGTTTTACTTATAATATAATTAATAAATATAATAAATAATTAATAAATATATTATGGAGAAACACCTGTAGCAGATAAAGAATTAATAGACATGGAATCTCTACTGAATTCGTTCATTGAAGCTTCTAATTGATTGTCATTAGAATCATCATACAATATATCTAATTGAATATCTTGATTGTCATTAGAATCGTCATATATATTTTCTAATTTGATATTTTCAAGAGAATCAAGAATATTTTTAATAGTTGGCCTTTTATTTGGATCATTTTCCCATGCACTTGTATATGTGTCGATATAATCTTTTGGTGTTTCATTAATAGGTTTTTCTCTTTCACCGGAAGTAACTTTTCTATATATTTCGAAATATGGAATATTATTAAATGGAGGTATTCCACTTGATAACTCCCAAAAAATAACTGCCAAACTATATATATCTGAAGGTTTATTTCTTTTGTATTTCATTTGATCTCGTAAATATTGAGGATCAGTGTATGCGATCACTCCACCAGGCATAGAATTTGAATTGGTATCTAATGGTTGAGATAAACCTAAATCGGTTATCAATAACCTTCTTTCATGAACTAAAATGTTCTTTGAATGCTATTAAGTAAATTTAGATGTATATACAATTTAAATAATTAATAATTATAATAATATAATTATTATTTTACACAATATATACAAATATACTTACTAGATCTCAATGAACTATATTTTCTTCATGAATACAGCGTAGACCACTTGTAATATCTTTAGCCATGTTGATTTTAATTTCCCAATCAAGACTTTCAAAATTATTTTGTAAATAAGTCCTCAAGTTACCATCTTTAGCATATTGCAATACTAGGTAATACGTCTCTGTTAAAGGATCTAAATAATATTTTTTATAATTTTATTTGATAAATAATATTTATTTTATTCAATATGAATTTAATAAATAATATATAAATAATACCTATACTGACTCCATAGTAGTTAATAATATTGTCATGATTATTTACAGCCATGATGTTTGCTAACTGTGGTTCCAAAAAATTGTATTTAAATTTTAATTTCATCTCAAAAATCTATATAATAAAAAAAGGATTTATTTTTTTTTTACCTCTTTCACAAATTTTTCATAAAATAATTCGTCATTTTTATGTAAACTTTTTAATGCAACAGGTTTTTCTAAAGTTATTGAATTAGCACAATAAACTGTACCAAATCCTCCTCTTGCGATTTCTGTAATATTTTTAAAACGTGTTATAATTAAATTTTTTAATTAATCAACTTTTTAAGGCATTTTCAAATGAATTTTTTTTACTATATGGTAAAGACATTTTCGGAATGAAAAAATTGATAATTGTAAAAATGATAAATTAAATTTGCACATTAATAAATATATATGTTTCATATTTTCTACTTATTGATCTATAAATAGCTACGCCTGAATGCATACATTTGAACAAAGCACCACATGATACGATTTAGAAAACAAGAAAATATATTCACGTGTTTAAATAGAATTACAGTTAGGGTTGTTAACCGGAGCATAATGTTCTGGCATCAACCTGGATTATGTATCACTCCGTCATGGAGCAGGTTAAGATTTCTAATCTTTTGTACTAACCCAGAGCAAATTATTTATTATAATCCGGGGTTACTATATAATTTTTGCTCCAGGTTGCTCCGGGTTACTCCAGGTTACTCCGGGTTGCTCCAAGTTATTTTAGTAATTTGATTGGTTATCCAATTAATAAAATAACAATTTACATTCGCGTTTTGATTTCTTTGTTCATGAAATTTATTTGAATAAAAAACAAAAAATGAATGAAAATTTATATGAAATACTTTCAGATAGTGAGCCTGAACAATCAGATGAATTATTATTAAATATAATTAGAGAAGAAAGTTTAGTTTTTAGTC